AAACATAATAAACTTAAAGATTTATATTTAATTTCCAGTTATTTAATTCCATCTAAGCCAGGATTCTTTCAAGAAAAAGCTTTTGGGGGGAAATGTTCACATCTTAAAACAATAAATTAAAAGCAAAATGTCAACTTGCCACCTCTAAATTAAATGATAAGAGAAGTCTCCAAAAACCATGTACAACTTTCTCAGTACATCTTCCTTAATTCAGATACAATAAAAAATGAAAACAGTATGAAGGATAAAAGAAAATATTAGAGAATGATGAGGTACCTCAGCACATTTTGTCCCCACTAACCAAAATTCAAAGAAACAGGCATTAAAAAAATACTTTGCAGAGGCAATTCCTCAGAGTTATTAACACGTGCAGGCTAAAAGCTTGTCAAAATGATTTCTATAGACTGCAAACCACTCTCAATAGTTGAAGACAAAGAACTTTTTGAGATCTGCCAAGCTACGGATCCCAGGTACAGAGTCATTGTTAGAAAATAAGTAACTGGAAAGACCTTCCCGGATTACTTTTGTTCAATTGACAAGAGGTTGGTGAGGCCATTTAGAATGCCAGTTGAAAATAAATATTTTATGTGGAACAAAACTCAAAGTAATGATAAAAAAAAAAGACTAGGTTCAAAGGGCTCATCGAGACTAGAGGGGTCCCCAAGACTATGGCCTGTCAAACCTGACACCTGCACTCACCCTCATGACTCAACTTTTGATCAAATGATAAAACCACATGGTGAAAAATAATGCCAGAGAGGTATGCCCTCCTTAGAACAAGCAACCAGACCAGACCAAAGGGGCAACATTTACCCAAGAAAAAAGATCAAAAAGTAAGAATGGAGAGGAAAGGAGTACAAATGAAAATGATAAATACAAGGAAGAATTGGGAAGTTTTGCTATATTGTGAGGATAGCAATCAATGTAATGAATCAAAATGTGTATGAATTATTGAATAGAAAACAAATTGGCTGTGTAAACTTTTAACCAAATCACAATTTGAAATTTCAGGGAAAAAGGATGTGAATGCCTGTTGAACCTCACAAATACATAATACAGTCACCACAGAAGCAAGATAGCAGCTGAGGGTGCTAAAAAAATTACTGTCACTGTACTTAACAGCAAACATAAGAATATTAATCGGGGGTACCCAAAAAACAAAGGAAAAGAGCTTGGCCGGGCAGAGCTCTCATGGCATGCATTTTTCCGCTAGGTGAGCCTTTAGCAACTCGCTCTGAGTTAGTGCACCCAGTGGCATCCCTGGGAAGGTTCTCTCTGATCATAGTGAATTTTCTGTAAAAGCAGTTTTTCTGGAAATTCGCTTTGAGTGTGTGATTCCAATTTAAGAGAACAACATGTGGCTATGAAATTTTGTTCCTGCTCGAGAAAAAATGCCACAGACACTGTTGTGATGTTGAACACAGCATACAAGAGCCAGCGCTATGGGAAAAACTCAAGTGTACAAGTGGTTTTCTCATTTTTAAAAAGGTGAGATGTCAATTGACAACAAACATTGTTTTGGACATCTGTCAACTTCCAGAACAGATAAAAATGTCATTAAATGCATGCACTTGTGCTCAAAGACCGACAACGGACCACTAAAGAGATGGGGAAGTTGTGTGGACTATCTTGGAGCTCGGTTCAGCATATTTTAACAGAAGATTTGGGAATGAGAAGGGTCGCTGGCCTTGTGAGCTGTGTTCTGACCAACCAGGAAAAAGAGCATTGAGTGGGAAAATGCCACGTTTTGAAAGAACAGCTCTGACACAACCCAGGCTTTTTTCCCCAAGGTCATTACTAGTGAGGAGACATGGTGCCATTCTTATGACTCAGAAAGCAAACACTCCTCAAACCAGGGGACGATGCCATCGTCACCTACTCCCAAAAAAAACTCGTCAAGTGAAATCAAAGATCAAAACGATGCTCATTTGTTTTGTTTTGTTTTTTATGTGGGGGGAGAGTGCATTCCACCAGGTCTGACTGTTAACCAAGCTTTCTGTTTAGACTAGGTTCTTAAAAGATTGCAGTAGCAATGTGTGACAAAAAAGGCCTGCTTTGGAGCAGATGGGGTACTGGTTTTGCCACCATGACCATGCACCTGCTCGGACTGTTAACCAAGCTTTCTGTTTAGACTAGGTTCTTAAAAGATTGCAGTAGCAATGTGTGACCAAAAAGGCCTGCTTTGGAGCAGATGGGGGACTGGTTTTGCCACCATGACCATGCACCTGCTCACGCAGCCATCTCAGTGCTCCAGTTTAGGGGCCAAAACAAAGCATGTCTCTTTTTCCCCATGCACCCGACTCACCTAACCTTGCTCCAGGTGACTTTTTTGTTTGTTTGTTTCCGCAAATGAAGAGGGACAAGAAACGACAGCAATTTAATGATGCTGGAGAGATGAAGAAAAAACAAGGTGCTGTCAAAGAGATGAGTTTGAAAAATGTTTCCAAGATGGAATCACAGTTTTGACAAATGTATTAAGTGCAATGGAGAGTAGTTTGGAGGTGGTAAGTTTGTTTGGTTAAAAAATTTATATACATAGCTTGGGGGAAAAGTCTTGGTTCTTTTTGCGTCCCCCCTTTTGTGTGTGTGTGTGTGTGTGCATAGATATGTATGTGTGTCACTGCTTTTGTTTCTCTAGGCAATCCAGCCTAATACAAATGTCTTCCTCACATTTTAATTGTTTAAAAGTTAAATCTGATGCAAACACATAATACTTTGGTTTTTAAGTAGTTTTTGTAGTTTGAGGAAATATGAGCTTACATTAGTTCATGTATAAAAAATAGTTCATGTATATATGATAATTTAACCAGAATAAGATAGTAAATATGCTTTGGAATCATAATAGTATATATATATTCCAAGCTTCACTGAAAGCATCAGCCCAAAACAAGGCTCCAAGAATTGATGGAATGTCAATTGAAATGTTTCAACAAGCTGATGAAGCCCTAGAAGCACTCACTCATCTATGCCAGGAAATTTGGAAGAGAGCTACTCAGCCAACTGACTAGAAGAGATCCATGTTTGTAGCCATTCTAAAGAAGGTCACCCAGTATAATGCTCAAATTATAGAACAATATCATTAATATCACATGCAAGTAAAATTTTTCTAAAAATCAACCAACAATGGTCGTAAAAGTACATTGACAGAAAACTGCCAGAGGTTCAAGCTGTATTTAGAAGAGGATGCGGAAAAAGAGATATCATTTTGGTATCAGATGGATCTTGGCTAAAAGCAGAGAAGACCAGAAAGATGTTTACTTGTGTTTCATTAACTATGCAAAGGTATGTGACTGTGTAGATCACAACAAACTATAGAGGGCCTTGAAAAGAATGAGAATTGTGCTCATGAGGACCTTGTACATGGATCAAGAGGCAGTCTTTCAATCAGAACAAGGAAATATTGCATAACTTAAAATCAGGAAAGCTGTGTGTCATGGTTGGACCCTTTCAGCATGCTTATTCAATCTGTATGCTGACCAACTATTCAAAGACACTGGATTCTGTGGAGAAATATGTGGTGCGGAGATTGGAAGAACATTTATTAACAACCTGTGATCTGCAGATGATACAGCCTTGCTTGCTGAACATGAGGAGAACTTCAAACACTTGGTGATGAAGATCAAGGATTGCAGCCTTCACCACGGATTACAACTCAGTATAAAAAAGACAAAAATCCTCACCACCAGTAGGCAACGTGACATACAGATAAAGATGGAAATAGTCAAATAGTTCATCTTGCTTGGCTCCACAATCTATGCTCATGGAAGAGAGCAAAGGATGCACTGCACTGAATAGATCTGCTGCGTGCGACTCTAAATTGTTGGAAAGTAAGGGTGTTCGTTTGAGGATTACGCTGTGCCTGACCCAAGCCATGGTATTTTCAATCACCTCATATGCATGTGAAAGTTGGATGCTGAATAAGGAAGATGGAATAAAATGGATACATTCGAACTGTGGTGTTGACAAAGAATATTGAAAGAACTATGGACTGCCAAAAGACCAAACAGATCTGTCTTGGAAAAAAGTACAGCCAGAATGCTCTACTGCGGCAAGGGTGAGAGACTTTGTCTCACACACTTTGGACATGTTCTCAGGAGAGACCAGTTCCTGGAGCAGGGCATCATACTTGGTAAACAAGAGGGGCAGCGAAAAAGAGGGAGGCCCCTAGCAAGATGGATGGACACAGTGGCTACAAAAGCGGGTTCAAACATAATGCCAACTGTGAAGATGGCAATGGACTGGGTGCCTCCTTCTTTGGCACATAACACTCGCTGTAAGTCAGACTGGACTCGACGGCACCTAACAACAGCAGCAAACGTGTAAACAATGAAATGCCACACAAAACCAACCTGACATGAACATTGTAAAATCAAAATAAAACTAAAAATTCCATCATATGTTGCTTTATCAATCCAGTTATTTTCTTGAAAATGCTGTTTATAATAAACCTTATTATTTGCACAAGAGGGAAACACGCTGTAATCCTAAAGCATACAATGCAAGATCCTAATGTACTGCATATAAGCACTTCGTAGAAACCATTTTCACTTATAGTCCAGGTTCACCTTCCCTTGGTTCAGAACATGTTTGGCAAAAAAGAATATTCTGGAAAGAGGAGGCTTTTGAAGGCATGTGTTTGTGTTGTTAGAGAAGAGCCTTAGATCAGGTGATAATTAAGGCTGGCACTTATTAATACTTCTTATTTTCCAGATTAAATGGAAGACCAATGGGATGTCTATTTTTCTAGAGTTAAAGTGGAATTTAGACCTGATAGGATTATGAACAAAAAATGAGTAATGAATACACAGTGTATACCACAATGCCTAGTGGTCTTCAGTAAAGGTTAAATCCTGCTCACTACTATTAATCATTGAAAGATTCTAAAATCTATTTTAAATGCCATTTATTTTCACATTTGCAATGTAAATATTATTATACTTCCTAGAAATTAAATTTTCCAAAAGTATAGGGAAAAAAAACAAAAAAAGAACACCTCTTACCTTTAGTTGTGTAGAAGCAGAAGCTAATTTTTTTGCTGCAGTCAGTGCATGTAATTGTTGGTAGTCTACTGGCTTGTACTTGGTGCTTCTTATCCCATTTTTCACACAGAATATCACATTACCTATTTTTTAATGAAAAATTGACAAGATGTAGTGCCATGCCACTGTCAAATACAGCTATGGAAACATGCTGATCTTGGATCTCATTTTTATATATTTAAAAAATAAATATAATAAATAATATATTATAGCATAAAACTTTAACCTCTCTTTCTAGAAACTCTTAAATTACAACATTATAACTCTATTATTTTCAATAAATTACTTCTAAAAGGGTCTACCCACCCCAAACCACACTACCTTCGAGGCAAATCCTACTTATAAGGACCTTCTATGGTGTTTTTGGGGTTGTAAACCTTAACAGGAGTAGCTAGCTCAGCTTCCTTCCACTTAAAATGGCACAGAGATGCTTTTATTTAGAATAGTTGATTGAGAATTTTTTAAATTATCATGCCAAGATACAAAGTATACCTAATATTACTCTTTTTATACAGAATGGATAGATAAGAATGGTAAATATTTAAGTATCACATTATTGTGAATCAAATTAAGCAAATTGTTTATTATTGTTACTATTGTACTAAATATATATATTTTTTGTGGGTGCTGTTAAGTCAGTTCTAACGCAAAAAAATCCTATGTGTGCAGACAAGGAACAAAAGCTGCCCTGTCCTGTGCCGTCCTCACACTGCTTCTGTGTTCCAGCCCATGGTGCAGCCACGTAATGATCCACCTCCTAAGGGTCTCCCCTTCTTCACTGACCCTCCAACAAGCATGAGTCCCTTCTCCGGGAAGTCTAAGCAGCTCAAAAAAAAACCACCCACAAAAAAGAAGATGCGGGTGGGAGGTGGGGAGGGTGAGATCATGGAAATGGTCATAAACTTTTTGAAGCCTCCCTTCTATGCGCAAAGGTAGCCCTGGTGGCCCAGTGGTTATGCACTGGGTTGCAAACTGTAAGATCAGCAGTTCAAAACCACCAGACATTCAGCGGGACAAAGAACGGGCTTTCTACTCCACTAAAGAGCTACAGTCTCAGAAAACCACAAGGGCAGTTCCATCCTGTCCCGTAAGTTTGTATGTCCGGAGAGGAAGTCCTCGACAAGATAGATCGAGAGAGTGACTACAACAATGGGCTCAAACATATCAATAATTAGGGTTGATAATACCAGACTTTACAGTCAGGAGCTTTATCTATTTGCTTATTTCATACAATATTTGTCCTTTTATGACTGACTTACTTCATTTAGGATAATGTTTTCAAGGTTCATTCATGTAGTATGTTCCCAGAACTAGAAAATGCTTCTATACAACCAGGAAATAATCTTTGTTTATCAAAACTTTGAAAATCAACATTCTAATTTTCTATCATAAGTATATAATCTACTGTAAACCATAGTACTGAGTTGAAAGTAGAAACAATACCTGAGCTACCATTTCGCTGAATTGTTATACATGGTTGGTCTGCTTTATTCATGCTTTCTACATCTGTCAAGAAAACAAGAAACAGTGAACATAAAACAATGCTCTTTCCAAAATGTTCAAAAACATGTGTTCATTGAAATGTTTGAAGGCTCAGGACTGAGTGCCATAGCCTCTTATCTTTTATTGAAATTTTCTTTTCTTTACTCCTGGAAGCCTCCCTGTTTTCTTCGGTCGTTTTGTCTATTCTTGGTCTCTCTCTCCAGTTGCTTCCCTCTCAGCCCCCTTCTAATGCACTGTCCCAGTTATTGTCAATATTTTGTGATTAGAAAGTTGTGTTTGTTCCTGAGCGGAAAGAAACTATATAAACCAAAGACTAAAGCAAGTGGCCAAATTGCTCACTACTTCCTGTAAAGAACTCCAGCAATTGTGGTACACACGGAGGCTCAGTCGAGGTCCCTGCTCTGGGAAGGACTTGCTGTCCAGCTGTGAGGGTTATCTGAAGACACAGAGAGAGCCCAGCTGCCACCTCTTCAGGGTTAGCTTCAGCTGTACAGAACCGCTTTGTCAAAGCACATCCAGTGACTGAACAAGGCAGAAAGGTGAAGAAGGCCCAGCCCGTTGGGCCTACTATGCTATACTCTGATGGACAATATGAGGGTAAGTCAAAAAGTATTCCTATAAGGTCATTGAAACATTTATTTAACAAAATGTGAAGCTATTCTTTCTTGACATATACTCCATTTAGGTCTATGGTCTTCTTAAGGCCAATTTCCACCTCTCTAACCCTTCCCTGAAGAATTCTGATCTCTTCAATTTGCATCATGTAATCACAGCAGATTTGGCATCCTCAAAGGACTCAATTACATTTCTTTCCAATGGCCTTTGAGTTTGGCGAACAAAAAGAAATATGAAGGGTCAAGGTCAGGGTTGGAGGGTGCCTGGGGTAAAGTTTCCCAATTTGCATTAACAGCCTTTGCTACCCTCGAAGAATGAACAGGTGCATTCTTGTGATGGGGAGAGAGATGAAAAAAAACACCAACTTCAGAGTATCTTTCCCGACCTTTTTATCACTAATGGAGTGTCCTCAATATCCTTACCTTCTTCATAGTAAGGCTGTGTGATCATTCTTTGCCTTTTCAATGTTATCAAGATGGTTGCTTTGAAATCCCAGAAAGTTGTTGTCATACCCGTTTGTGCTAACCCTCTGCCCTGAATTTAACTGACCCCACCGATCTTCTCAGAAGCCACTGTCTTTTTTTATTGACCCTCTTTTTGTGAAGGGCCCTAACAAGACTAAATCAAGTGCATTACTGATAGAGCTTGTCTGCAGCCATCCACTGATCACAGAGACAGGCTTGAGCGCATTGTGTGTAGAATAAACCTGTGTGTGTATGAACTGAAATACTAGTAGCAATACTTTTCTGACTTCCCTTTTCTCCCCCTCCTTGTCCCCTCGCCGCCTGCCCCACCACGAGGATAACTGCCACAAGAAGAGGTGAGGCCCCTCAATAACCTGGATCCTAAGAAAAAGGACAAATGGCTCCCTTGCCTCCTGCTGGTGGAATTCTTCTGAGCCACATGACCGTGGGCCCTTCCTAATGTTCCTCGTACACAGAACTAGTTGGGGGGAAAGGTAGTTGACAGTAATTGGATTTCTTTTAGCCACTCAGAATAACTGTTATAATAATCCCCAGTTCATACTCTAGGTCTTCCTCAGTTCATAAGTCTAGTTCTTCCTATCATAGCCTTTTCACTCTACTAACCTGTAGTAGAATAGTCTACAGACAGAGGGCCTTCCTATTTTTTGCTATATTCCTACTTTACCAATCATGATGTTCTTCTCCAAGGACTGTCTCTCCTGACATGTCCAGAGTCAAGATGGATGGACAGAGTGGCTGCAACAATAGGCTCAAATATAAGAACTATTGTGAGAATGCTTCCGGACTGGGCAGTGTTTTGCTCTGTGCTACCCAGAGTCACTATGAGTTGGAACTGAATTGATGGCAACAACAACAGTAACTGCAGGCAGAGATTGTAAACGTAAATGACTTCAGAAGTCATCAGGTAAGGTAAATGGGAGAAGGGACAAGGCAAAGGCTATCAGGAGTGGCAGAAAGCACGAAAAATTAAAGAGCATCTCAGACCCCAAAATAATCAAATACAGAGAAAGAAAGCATAATTCCACAATGCTATGCTGCATTCAGCAGCCAGCTTGTGATCTGTGGTCCTGTTGGGGCCTCCTCCCTAGGACAGATTTCATTCTCCCACTGGTAGCTTAAGTATTCAAATTTCCATGTTCATTTAGTGCAGTGGTTCTCAATCTGTGGGTCATGACCTCTTTGTGTGTCAAACGACCCTTTCACGGGGGTCACTTAAGACCATCAGAAAACACATATTTCTGATGGTGTTAGGAACTGAGACACCACTCCGCTATCCATCTCCAGGTGGGTCCGCCCACTTGCAGATACACCCACCTACAGGTACCTGGCATGAAGACAGTTACCCATGCTACACCATGCTTCAAGACAAATTTTCATTTACTTGTAATTAGAAATAAATATTTCACAATATATAATTACATATTGTTTTGTGATTAATCACTATGCTTTAATACTCTTCAATTTGCAACAATGAAAATACATCCTGCCTATCAGATATTTACATGACGATTCATAGCAGTAGCAAAATGACAGTGATGAAGGAGCAACGAAAATAATTTTATGCTTGGGGGTCACCACAACATGAGGAACTGTGTTGAAGGGTCGCGGCATTAGCAAGGTTGAGAAGCAATGATTTAGTGGGCGTGCTTGCCAGCTCTCTCTCACTGACTGACTTTAGTCTATCCTCAGTGAAGAACCCTGCCTTTTAGATTGAGGATTTGCTTTTCTCAACAAAAAAGCGAGGCTCTGAAACAAGATGGGGTTGTGCAGATTCTCTTTTGGCTCCCTTCGTCTAACCCTGTTTCATTTGATCCTCCTCCTTGTTTTCAGAGGAATACCATCCAGCCCACACAATGTTTCTCACCATTTCTATGCAATTTGAATTTTAACTATAACCATAAGAATCTTGTACTAGAACACATTTTGGAAATTAAAATTAGAACAGAAAATAAGCTGTCTTCCTAAACTTGAAGCCTAGTTTGGTTCCAACTATGCAGATGATCAAGAGGAAATGCTTCTTGACCTACATACCTCAGTCTTCATATAAAACTCACAAATAATTACTGCTCATCTTTCGAAGGGGCTGAGGGTCTCAGAACCAAAGGGTTACTAGGCTGAGAGATTACAAAACTGATTACAAGACTGAAATAAGCATTCATATTTAGAACTTGAAAATTCTCCAATAATTTATGTAATCCAATCTCTCATTTTAGCACTTTAGTAGATGGAAGCCCAGTAAAAAGGGGGGTGGGGGGATGTCAGGGCTAGTTAGTAATGGAACATCATGTCCAAAATCTAATATTCATGATGGTAAATATCTTATTTCATGTGAACATACATGCATTTGTACAAAAATGTTAAGTGTTTAGTTAAAGGGCATGGCCCAGGTACTACTGATATCTTAAATAGCATAGGGCATATGCTTTACATCACATTTCTAAAAATCTGAAGTTCAAAATACATCTGGCCTCAAAAATGTGAGATGAGGGATTATGAAGCTATTATTAAAACAAACACTTCCTGACTTCCAAACAAGTACATGTCAGCTAGACCATTTCAACTTTATGCTTACTAGTGAGAAATTTCGTGGGCACTTCAGCTAATAGTAATGCTTTTGGCTGAATAACTGCTACTTAACCAGAATTTTTCATGTTAAATAATTTAAGAGCACTTAGTTTTCAAAATTATTCCATGTTCACATTATGGGGCATTTTAGAAATTTCTTATGAGTGTTGTCCAAATGTGAAGCCTTGTAGATCAATGAAATTACTGAAAATATTTTTAAATAATATATTTCATGAGAAATAGCTTACAGTACAGGAAGAGCAATTTGATGTATAACGTAATGATAGCTACACTGTGACTAGAGGGCTGAAAAATATTTTTATATTAAGATAATTTGTATATATTTGATTTTTAAAATATAAACTTAAAAAAACTATCACTTCAACTCATCTCTAGAAGGTAAATAACATCATACTTCTCTAGAAATGGTTGGGTGGGGCGGGGGGCAGGAAAGACAGCAGAGATTATTTAAATATCAAGTCAGTCTTTTTATTGTGTTAAAATTTGTATTTGTCTCTTTTTCCTATGAAAATCTGTGAGGGAAAAAGAAAAAACAGAGGAAGAAAGAGTCAACTATACTTAGGCTTAAAATCCTACAACATATGGGTAGTTTGATCACTCTAAACTGTTTAGCAGTGCAGATATGTGACTTATCCATGGGGGCACGTTCGCTAAGTCAATAGGCCAAACAGGTGAAGATCAATGTCAATCTGAAGAAATATATTGGATATGAGATCAAATTATGACTTTTTCATATGAACAATTTCATGACATTTAGGTCTTAGTTCAGATACTATGATCAAAGTCTATCTTAAGCAGAATTTCCCCAACATCCAAAATTCCCTTTTGAATCCCAAGCAGAATGATGTATAGTAAGGGAAGCCTTACCTCATTCACCCTACAACTCTGGTCTTGCTTTCAGTCTTCTTTTTGTTACCAAAATGTTTAGTTAAATAAGAAATTAAAGGAACATGATTTGACTCACTAGAGAATGCCAAAACAGTTGTTTTGATGTGATCTAAATTGAAGACCTCAGAATTCTTTAGGGAAGGGTTCCAAAAATCGAACTCATTGTCATCAAGTCCATTACAACTCATAGGCACCTGATAGGACAGAGTAGAAGTGCCTCTGCGAGTCCCCGAGGCTGGGATACAAGAGCAGAAAGTCCCATCTTTCTTCTGCAGAGTGGGAAGTAGTCAGAGGTGTCACCCACCCGGCCACCAGAGCTCCTTCCAGGAAAAGATTAAATTGATAAAAACAGCACCTTCAGAAATGTATGGAGGTTATGCTGAGAAACAACAGGTTCACATTTTCATATTTTTGTTAAAGATCTGATCA